CGCATGTATTTCTCCCTCTCCTGCCTCAGTGTATTTGCGCGAGAGCGAATTACCAGGACATGCCTTTTCATTACTGTCACAAAGAGAAAAAGAGAGAGAAAGAGAGGGAAATAAATTGATATAGGAGCCATTCTCGTTTCCCTCGGGCTTGCTTACAGTGGCTTGACAGACCCGGGACACGCGAGCCACCACTTTCTCTCTCTATTTCACTCACACCAACCATGTTCCCTCAGCAGCCCTTCCAGCCAAACCAAATCCTCCACACAACTGATCCAATGGCACTTTGGTTTGGGCCAAAGCCCTCCAAGAAAAGCGTGCAAGAAGTTTTAAAGGGGACACATTCGAAAATACATCTATTATACATCCACAAAGATTTCATGCACAATCCTTCATTCTGTGACTCTTTTAAACCCCAAAACCAAGTCAAGAACACATACAAGCCTTGATGGACAAAATGACGGACAGCTACACCAGAGGCTTCAAATCCTCTATTAGTGTGACTGGATGATCTACAGTCGGTGGTGCATTGCTGAATGCATCTCTGCGGTTGATTAGCGTGGTAATGAGTGTAGAGAGGCTTGAGGGACGTGCCGGGCTGCCATGTGGCTTAAGTGATTGTGGTAATTGAGTGGATAGTGACAGCTTTGCAATGGCCTAATTAAGACTCACTGGACTGGGGCCAAGATTTTACCGTCATAGTCACACTTTTAACAACCGAACCGAGACGGAAAATGGAGCTAAAATTCAAATAAAACGAAACCATCTGTTGTGAAGGCATGTCATACAAGAAAAGGAGTCAGGGACATGTTTTATATGACATTACACTGAAAGATCGCACCAAAAAGCATTGCAAACAGCTGTGAAAATGTTATTTTTCCCTGAGGGACACTTACGTATGTAAGTTTTGCTACTAAGACTATATGGTAATGACCACTATTATGATTGTCTAACTGCTTAGAATGTGAAATTAGCAACAGCACCGCCATCGTGAAAACAAATTAAAATTGTATTTTTTCCCTGAGGGACACTTACGTTGATACGTTTTGCTAATTTACCTTTAAGACTATATGCTAATAACTACTATTCTGAATGGTTAAATTCTTGTGAAATAAGAGTAATACCACACTGTAATATCACAGTGAATTCTTGAAAGACAAGTTTTTGTAGCTTAGCGAGCTGCTTTGACATCTTACGCAGTAGCATGCTAACTGAAACGTAACCTCGTAAGTGATTTAGAACACTCTAGGCTACAACTCTTGGCATGCAAAAAAGTTTGAATACTACTGGACAAGAGACAATTTTTCATGTTAGCATGTTGCTAAGCTAATAACCCAATACTTTAAGTTTGACTATCACACAAATTTTGCATAAAATAGTCTGTTTTTAATTAAATTCAACTACTACTTTTTTTTATTACAAAGCGAAAAATAACCAGTCAAAATTCTCTCAACTCACCATTTTGGATGGATTTTTCGCATAATTTTTTCCCTCAAAACAAGTTCAGTGCAAACTCCACCCTACAACCAAATTGAAAGATTTTATTGGTCATGTCAAAGTGCCAACTGCACAAGCACCAAACCCCTAACCCAACCTACATCTCAACATATGCATAGCGTTGGTAGCATATCTTGGCAGACAGCATTACCGTTTGTCATGATAGTTCATGCATGATTTTTCCGAACTAAATCCATGAAATCCGAATCTTTTCTTGGCAGGTGACTTCATTATTGAGGTCCTGTTTACACTAGTGAGTTTTCATTTTAAAACTGCGTTTTAAAATGAAAACAATCCTCATCTACACTTGCGTATTCACTGCATTTCAGAAACGTTCTCCGTCCACACTACACAACTGAAAACGCATGTCACATGACCATTCATGCAGGTACAACAATGTGCATGATGTTATTGTTTACACAGTCATCAAGGATACGCAGAGCGAATGTGGGCGAAACGCAACCCTGGAGTTTTTAAACTAAAACAGGGTCTGCAGCGTTTTCGAAAGTCTCCGTTTTTTAAGGGGTCGAAAACGCCGGGGTAGTGTAAACGTCAGGCGTAACCGCAGCAAAAGTTATGCGTTTTAAAAAGAAAATGCATGAGTGTAAACGTAGCCTGAATTGACCAATGAAATCGACTGTGAGGCAGGTTTGTGGTTAACTGGCTTAGGGGCAAAAAAAATTATTGCCTTTCTGTGGAGAATACATGTGATGCTGCTTTAGGCTACTTTTACATGACAACGATGTGCTAAAAATGGAAAAGTCTTTCCTTTGCGTTTTTCACGTACAGACAACAATGCCAAAACAATCCACTTTCACACAGATTCGCGAAAACAACTTAAAATGCTGTTTTTTTGCATGCCAGGCCAGTAGTTGGCGATGTCGCTTTGTAAACAAACACTACACGAACATGTAATAAGCAAGCACATGACATCACCATTTTCACAAATTCACGTTTTGAGCGGATAATGGTGTAGTTTTCAAAAGTTTGCATTTTCAGGCACCCAAAACACTGTTGTTGTGTAAATAAATGGCCAAAACGCATTTTAAGTTTTCAGCTTTTAGTTGAAAATTATATAGTGTAAACACCCCCTTAGAATTTGGCCATTTCACTTTGGCAAACAAAACGTAATGAAATTAATGTTTCACCTATAGTAACTAGGGGTGCAACGGTTCTCTGTAAAAAATCGAACCGTACGGTTCTACACACAGTTCGGCATACACTAGGACCGTGGTTCAACTTAAATCTGACAATGCATCTGTAATATGGTTTGTTAGAGTTCGGCTAATGCATGTTTCTGTTGATGGATACAAATTCTGGCTTCCCAATACATTACAACAAGAGCGATGAGAGAAAAAAACAACAACACGTGGACAAACCAGTCACTCTTTGTTCAATGCGAGTGCTGTATGCTGGAATAACTGTCATTTATGCCGTCATCACGTGTTTATAGCGCAGGTGAGACCTGAACAGCACACGTTGCTATCTGTGTTTAAACTAAACTCATTTAAGCCTTGCCAGTTTAAATATTAAAGAGCCAGAAGATGCGAACTCGCGAGAACTCGCGTGCAAATATTAAGCTCTCTTTGAAGTATTGTGCTTGAATGGACAAATTCACACAAAAATTATGTCAAAATGCCCGTCTTGGTGAGTATCCTATAGCAGACATAGTCGGCTGAACAAACAGTATCAGTGCACTGGATCAGTGCGTTCTCTTAAAGTGACAGCACTTTCTTAAAGTTAATTAAACAGCAACAACACGGAAATCACTCACTGCTCTCGATTGAATAACTTTTGTAACTTTAATAAGGAATAATTTTTAATTCATACAGTTAAATATGCAATGTAGCTTTACATTTGATTACTTTATTCAATTTCTGTACCTAAAAACTGTTAGACCTACCTAAAAAACCTGAAAAGCACTGTTTATTTTATTTGTATCTTTGCTTTATTGC